ACGACACAGCCGGCCGTGCCGTTAGGACAACGTCTCTATGGTTCACGATTTGTTTCCACTACTGAATCGTATAAGCTATGTTGCTTGTAAACCGTCCTAACTTAAGTTACGTCGTTTCAGCAATTTTGAAATAAGGCTTTAAGTCTTGGTTATTTCGGTGTACCGTAACTTTGCCCGGTGTAGCGTAGAAGGAAGCGATCCCATTAACGCACACAACATCCTCCACCACGCGCCGAAACACTACTGCCGTAGTGGGCCAGACTGTGACTGGAGGCAAGACTGTTTCGCTCTCGCTTCCCAGCCTCAACCTGAGCCAAACCCCTTCCCCCTCCCACGCGAGCAGGCTCAGGGGAAGAGGTGGTGATGAAAGGTACATAAACGGCCACAGCTGAGACCTTGTAATGCGGGTGATTCAGAAAATCTAATTTGGGTTATACCTTTTGTTGACTAAGGTGTGACGTTGCCGATTAAACTCGAGAAAGCTAAATGGAAGGTGGCGTTCCTTCCAATCAGTTTCATCGAAGTTTCTCGCTGGGAGCAGCTGTAGGGAACTGTAATATGTTGAGTAGAGCAGGGACATGCAAACGGAACAGGCTGTTTACTAGTATGTTTGGAGGCCCATTAATGGCGACATTACCATTGTGAGAATGAACTCAGGCAAGGAAAGAAATAGAATAGCTGTATGTTAGGAACTAATTTGGAAGACTTCTGGCTCGGGTTTTTTCTGTTATCCTGCGGCATTTTAGAGAGAATGAGCGTTTCAAGACGCATGTGCTGTTAGCTGTATACGGCGTGGATCATCCAGGACAAGAGATTTGCGAAGTGTTGAGCGACTGTCTTCAAAAGCGCCTTGATCATGTTACGCTCAGCCAACTGATCGACACTTTGGCTAAAAACACACAAACGAGGCTAGACAGTGCTGACGTACAGGTATTTAGAACTATAATTCAAATTATTTCATCATATAATTCAAATTATATCATCGGAGGACTGTACAGAAAATACTATCCTTTTTTGGCTCTTCAGCTCTCTACAAAATGCTTCATCCTTGTAAAGTATATGCTTCAGCTGCATTTCAACACCACAAAGAGACCAATTCATGAACGTCGGAACTTATAAGAAACCCGTAGTTGTTGGCATTTGCAAGACCAGCGCTTCCCCATTAAATCGTGCTCCTGCCACAGTGAGTGCTTTGTTAAGAGGTTCATGATAGCCTTATCGCAAGGAAATGCGGAGCGGTTGAAGTGGTTGTGGTTGCAGTCCAATTTCGATACTTGATTTCTTGAATTTCGAATCCTACGTGCCAAACTCCAATCCTGGATAGCTTGGATAAAATATACAGTCCCTGTCGAAGGGCGAACGGGAACGTCACGAAGGCTTTTGCGTATACTTGTGCTGACTCTGTTGCACAAACCTCTTCACTTCCCTTCCGCCTGGGTCCAGGTTGTCGTGCTCGGAGCTACGTACTTTGAGACCCACTTTTAGCCCTATGGATACTCTAGATATAGAACTTATAAATATTTTTCTTTGCAAACAAGAGGGCTTGCTTGAATGGACTGTTGGGATCCGATGCCTCCCGTCGTAAGATTGCTACGACCACTTTCATTCCACCGGCCCGTTGCTGGCGCACATTCAGTTTTCTACTTGGTTCATACTCCCTCAATTTAACTGGTCGACGCGGAGCGGTTTTCCTCAGCTCTCGTCCTATACATATGAGGTCATTAGCTCTCTTTAGCGCTCCATAGGACCCCTGCTGCAGGAGTGGTGTAGTGGCAACTAGGTCCACGTCTGCTGTATAATGGCCCTACCACCTCAGGCCGAGCCAAACTCATCCTCCATGGATGGTTAAACTGCGTACTTAGATTCCGTTTGAGAGGATTACAAAACACTACCATTGTACCCGAAAGTTCATTGATATAGGCCATATCGCGCAACTCAGATTCAGCCCCTGCGAGTTCTAGAACGAAAGTATAATTGCGCATCCAGAAGGCGGCCTGATCATGCCCCTCTTTGGGATGCGCCACGCATTCTACTTTCATTGGCCATGGGGAAAGCTTAATCCTTTATCAGGCTCTGCGACGAATTCAACACTTATAAAGGGCTTTTTTCCACTCTTGCCACCTTTTCAGTTTCTTCAACGCGACCCGACATCACCAGCTGGTGTGTTTAATTACTCAATACCGAGCTCGATGTCTCAACTCCTGCAACCGCTCAACTACTACACACATCAACATATGCAAGCAGTGATGCCATCGGCAAGATACAAGGTATACCTCGCGCTTTTTCTCTCCTTCAATATCCAAGGAACAGAAAGGGCAAGGGCGGTGCGATTAGGGAGGGGGACTTTGCACTTCCGATGCTTCCCATTGTCGTGTCGAGCCCTTGAAGTTGAGATTTGTAAAATCTTGTGACCCATGAATTGCTATCAGTCGAAGTTTATAGGGAGTTAGTTTCTGTAAAGAATACCTGTCAACACTTGTAAAGCAGGACAAGCAGCGAAAGTGCAAATTGCCCCCCCCCCCCTCTTAGCCGAATTGAGAAGGGTCTTTGCAGTTGCTTAGGCACATGCAACTTTTAGTAGGAATTTCAGGAGGATTACGGTTCTGGCGGAACATGCACAGGAGAGCGCTCAGTTTTCCAGCCTTTGCCGTTTTCTGGGAAACAACCAGATTCATACGTTCCGATTTTCTATCTGCTTGTCAAGTCGCCGCAAGAAGGGACTCGATCCACGGGTCAGAAATAGCGGTTTTTCCCCGAGCAGAAAAGCCATTACTATACACCCATCCAACGCATGTCAGCTACTGATGACAGTTTAGGTATTGCTGCAATCGAGTTACGCTTTGTAACCTGTAGCGGGGAGATGGCTTCGTTGACAACGGGTCGTTTGAACATTTCAACACATATGAGCTTGGCACCGATATTATGTAATGAAGAAGAACGAGAGGCGGCATACAGAGAAATGACGTACACAACTAGATGCGAACAACTGAAGGAACTGCCCGGTAAGTTCAGTGAATGAATACTGTTGTTTCGTTTTTCGGCCTTGGTGGTCAAAAGGTTCCTCCATTCATAAACGTTTTTAATGGGCATGCCTCAGCAGAAACAAATTCCGCGATTTTGTGGGGGCGGAACCTTTGTCTTCAAGTGCGCAGGTTTGGGTGGCGGGGAGGGGCAGGCGGGGCACTCGTAGTCCGCCGCTCTGTCGCGCGCGGTGATAAAGCACCGTTTTCTTAGTTTGCGTTAGCCTGTCAACACCGGATTTTATGTAGACCCGACATTGGTGGCCATTTAG